CTTTTTTTTTTTTTTTTTTTTTTGGTATGGTGAACCAAACTCAGGACCTTATGCTTGTGAGGCAGGCACAGTGCCACTGAACTTACATCCCAGCTGGATATAACACATCTTAGTGTTACAAGTAGGGAACAGGCTCAGAGAGGCTAAATGGCCTCACCAACTTCTCATGGCCACACTGGAGTCTGGTATGGCTGCCAAGGGACCCAGGGGCGGGATCTGGTCCAGCACAAACTGGGCTGCCATGGCTCTCTGGGGCTGCTGATCCAAACCTGCCCTGGGCCCAGAGGGGCCCTCAGGGAGCTGGTAGTACAGCTGCCCTGGCTCATTGGCCAGGCAGGTGGCAAGGGTGCCGGGGGGAGGGGTGGGACAGGGCAGCCTCCTGCCCAGGAGGAGGGCCTGGGGACCTAGGCCAGTGCAGGGTGTCCACCCAGCAACTGAAGAGGCCACAGGGCAGAGGCCATGGCAGGAGGGGCAGGGCTGGCCCCTGAGGAGGAGGACCCTACTAACCTTCCCACTCTGGGTGGGTGGGATGCTCCCCAGTGCTGGGCTGAGGTCCTTGGACATAGGAGAAGCTGTGGACAATATTGGGGGGCCCTCAGGGCACACCCCAAATGCCCCAGGTGGGAGCCAGCCTCATCTATAGCCAGGGAAGCTGAGGCCAGCCAACCCCAGCCCCAAGGCTGGTGCTCTGGGAGCCCCTGGCTGGCAGGCTGGGCTACTCCTCAGAAGGCAGTGGGGAGCACAGTGGGTGGGGAGCTCCTGGAGGCCTGAGTGCAGGAGAGGGGCCCAGGAGTGGGTGGAGTAGGGAGGCCCAGCCCCCAGGAGGGAGGGGAGGCTGTAGATGTTTGCCTGTCCGTCCTCACGGTAGACTTCATAGGTCCCCACTGGAAGGGGCCAACTCCTCTGCGGCCACCCGAATTCTCTTCCTCCCCAACCCCTGGGGCTTGGCGGGCACCTGTGCAGCTGCCACATGAGGGGAGAAACCGTTGCGGCAGGAGGGTGTAGACACTTGCCAGCCCCAAGGGAGCGTGGATCCCCAGGGCCTCAAAGCTGTCGGCAGCACCCCGAGGTCCTGCCCAGAGATCCTCCCTGGCTGTCCTCGTGGTCCCAGCCCCCAGGAGGTCGGGACTCTAGGTGCGGATTCTGAAAAAGCCTAGGCCAGAGGAGACAGACTGCTCCCATGGTCACGTGCGGCGGCCCCAGTCGGGAGGAGGCCGCACTCCCTCCCTAGGTCCCAAAGAAAGGCAGGAGGGTGCAACCCCTCCACCTAGAACGGGCTGCAGCACTAAGGGACCCGTGACAGGGCTTCCGCACAGGGGACCTCCTGTGTCACATCCCGGTCCCGCAGGGCTGGGGAGCGTGCGTCACTCTTAACCCCGCCGGGTCAGACAGCGGGGCTGTGCCCAGCAGGGCCACGTGCCAAGGTGGCTCCCTCTCCACGCTCCCGGGTCACCAGTACCTGTTCCGGGAGCCCGTGGGCGGGGCAAGTGAAAATGCACGTAGCACGCACATTGGTGCTGGGGCCTAAAGTGCCGTCGTTTCAGCAGTTTTTGTTCGAGTGGCGGCAGAGCTCCCCTCCCATCTTCAACTTCTGGGCGTGGGAGTGTATGGCCACATTATGCCACGAAACTCCACCTGCTGCCTTCCCCAAGAGCGAGAAAAACAGAGAGTGCTGGGTGGTTGCTCGCCTGTCATTTCAACTACTCGGGAGGCTGAGGCAGAAGGATCACAATTTAGTGAGACCCTGTTTCTAAATAAAATTTTAAAGGAGGTGGGGGCTGGAATACAGCTCCGTGGCAGAGCACTTGCCACTAGCATGCGCGAGAGGCCCGGGGTTCCTTCCCTAATAACGAAACCAAAACTAAACCAAAAGCCACACAGGGAAGGAAGATCAAGGAGCAGTCATGGGGGCAGAGCGCGGGCCGGGGCCGGGGCCGGGGTCCAGGTCACCAGGCAGCGGAGAGCAGGGTCCTGCCTGAAGGCGGCGGACCCGCGATAGGGATGCCGAGCGGCCCGTGCCTGTGCACGGTAGACTGCGGGTCCCTCTCCCAGCCTGGTCCCTGCTGTCCCCTGGGCAGCGCGTAGGACACTCAGCTACCGCCTCGGCTTCCCCACCGACACCTTCAGAGGCCCCGCTTTTAGGCTCGGACCGGCTGCGTCCCTCCCTGAGTCCCAGCCTTCCTGAAGCCACTGCGTGTCCTGCGGCGATGGGGTCGTCTGCAGCCCCACGCGAGACCCCGAGCCATCAAGGAGCCCCATTCTCCCGCAGAGCCAGTGCAGCCTGGACAGTAGGTCCCCCAGCAAGGCGTTCACTGGGCGGCAGCGAGT